TGTCCACCAATCCCTCTTCAACCCACTCCTTACCTCCTCTCGCAGAAAGAACAACACACTCTCCATCTCAGTCTGCAGATACTCCAGCTCAAGGCTTGGCTTCTTTGTAGTTCCAATGCATAGAGTGCTCCTGCTCCCAGGAGGTACAGGAAGTGTTACTACACAGTAGGAAATTGGTTACCCGTCATATTTAACTACAAAAGTGGAAAAGGTTTGGTGCACATTATCCCTACATCTGCTATTCTCCTGGTGGTTTTAGAATACATATTGGCTCTCAAGAAGACAGGGCTATACCTCAGTTCACTCAAGCTACATCTGGTGGCCGTAGTGGTACCATCAACAGGTAGAGGGATACTCAGTTTTCTCATACCCAACTACAAAGAGATTCCTTAAGGGCATAACAAACCTCCTTTCCCCACCCAGATGCCCTACTCCAACATGGAACCTAAAACTAGTTTTTAAGAGCCAGACTAGATCACCCTTTGAACCAATGGCTACTTGTTTTCTTACACACCTGTGAACAAAGATAGCATTTCTGGTGGTCATCTCGGTGAGGAGAATAGGGGAAATAGCAGCACTTATGGCACACCCTGCTTTACAGTATTCTTTCACAACAAGGTTACTATCTGGCTATTCCCAAAGTTTATTCCTAAAGTGGCCTCATCTTTTCACATGAACCAACCAAATCCCCTCCCAACTAAGCCTCACCATGTTAACAGAGAGGCCATACTGCACATGCTAGATGTTAGGAGAGCCCTAGCCTTCTACCTGGACAGGACAAAGACTACTAGGAAATCTCCTAAGCTCTTTCTTTCCATTGCAGAAAGGTCTAAAGGCACAGCAATATCAGCCCAGTGACTCTCCAGATGGGTCTTGAACTGTATTTAGCCCTGTTTTCATGTTCGCAATATAGTACCTTTACCTGGAATTTGCACACACTCCACAAGGTTAGTTTCCTCCTTTGTCGCCTTCCTCAGGAATGTCCCTGTCTTGGAAATCTGCAGAGCAGCCATCTTGGGCATTTGCATATACCCTCACAGAACCCTATGCCATCACTGGAGACTATGCTTCCAATGCTAGTTTCGGCTCTGCGGTATCATCATCCATAACAGACTTGACTCCAAAGCCCCAACCTCCCATTAGGGATACTGCTCTGGAGTCACCTATAACGGAGCACCCATAGGAACACTACTCAAAGAAGAAGAGGAAGTTACTCACCTTGTGCAGTAATGATGCAGTAATGATGGTTCCTTGAGATGGGTGTCCCTATGGGTGCTCCATAACCTGCTCTCCCTTCTATTTCAAAGTTATTGATAGGGACTCTGTGGTAGAGAAGGATCTGAAGGTGGTTCGCTTGCGCAGCACTAATTAGCCTCAAGCACGAGAAAGGGAGAGTGCATGTGAAGGCTGAACAGACACTGCTACCAAAGATCTCTGATCAGAAGCACAGGAATGCACATGCATCTACAGTGGAGCACCCATAGAGATGCTCATCTCAAAGAACCATTGTTACTGCACAGTGTGAGTAACTTCCTCTTAATCAACACATAAAAGCTCCCTGTATTTTTGCTTTCCAGCTGCAGATAAAATTCTTAAAGGAATAGACTTTCATTTTCTCAATTGAAAAGACTGCAAAGTAAACTTTCAAACATGAAAGGGCAATTGAGAAACTCTTGGCCTGAGGTATTTTTGTTACACAGTTGGAAGAAAGTTTTGTTTGTTGTTGAGATTTTGAGCTAATTAAATATTTTTCCTCCCAGTCATACAGTAACTGCTTTTAAGTTTAGCTGCAAAATGCATTAGTTTCTGCTTCAACAGACTGACTTAGCATGGCAAAAGTAGCTTGGTTCAAAACCAAGCTGATGTGTAGAAGTTTAGTCCTTTGGCACCAAGAGGTCTGCAGTAGTTAGTGTTAGGATATTCAAAATCCAGCATTTCAATTTCCAGATGTCAGGAAGGAGGTCTGCATAGCATTAAAGCAGATTTACTTTTCATCCAAGGAGCTAAAATACACAGTCTAAGTTGGCCAGTAGTCATGTTGAGTTTTTTTTTTTTTTTTAAGTTTGGAGTAGATAGGAATTTGACTGTCTTGACTCAGGCTTGGATCCTCCTCCACTGAGGGGCCTGGGATTCTGGATCCAAGCCATGAGTTAGCACAATCTGCTTGTAGACAAAAGGGGGCGGGTAGGCTGGAGCCTGAGTTCAAACTCAGGGTACAAGCCCTATTTCTTTGCAGTGTGGATGCATCCCCACTGGACTCATGCTCTTGGAGTCTGCCAAAAGTAATCCCACACACTGACTTTCTGTACTTTGGACAGACAAGTTTTCCCACACTGCACCATGGGCAAAGGGCTATAGTGGTCACATTTTGGGAGGCCATTAGGAAGTCTGAGCTATGAGGGTTAGATTTGGGCCCACATAATGCAGTATAGATGCTGGAGACCCAGGTTGGGACCCAGGCTTCAACAATTCATGGCCTGGGGTTACTAAGGAGCGTAGACGCTCAAGCCCTAGGTTATCAAATGCAGTGTCTGTTAACTTGAGTTCTGCTAATCCTGGATATACATTGCAGTATAGACATATCTTAAAGGACTGCCCATGCTTTCCTTGGTTTTTAAATAGTTCTATAAATATTGTGCAGAGTGGAATGTAGGCTGCCAAATCCTACAAGTTCTCTCTCTCTCTCGCACACACACAATATTGCAAAACCCTCCTTATTTTCTAAGCAGTAAAAAGTTCTTCTGGTGTATCATAGTTTGCCATGAAAAATCTGACACAGTAAGATCTGTTCACCATAAAATAGACAGGAAGCTAAAAGTGTTTTTTTTCTATGAATTTTGCAATTAATAAATAAAATGCATTGAAGGAATTGGATTTCTGGTACAGTCCCTCAAGTCACGCTAATTAGAAAAAAGCATGGTCAGTATTTAACTCACCCTATTGTACATGCATATTATTCCACATCTCCAATGGGCAAAGGATATCTTCGAAAATATTTCAGAATCTATAGCTGTTCTGTCACTCCCCAATTATTTGTCTTTGAATAGTACACTGAGAGGCTGTGTTGAAGCTTGGCTTGGGTCTGCATTAGAGGTGGCTGGAGGACAAAAATTCCATGATAACTTCTGTGGTTTTGAAATTTGTTTTCGTTCCACATTCGAACAAAATCAAAACTGTACAAATATTTTTGCAGAACAGAATTGTGTTGAAATGTCCATTTTCTGTTTGAAAGATCAAGTTTTCAATTTGTCTCTTTTTCTCCGGTCAGAAGTGACCAGAGATGCCTGGACCTCAGAAACCTTCCTGTCAAAAGCATTGTTGAAATCAACATGTCTACCCGATACGTTTTGGCTTTGATGAAAGAGTGTACTCTCATGAGAACACATGTAGCTAAAATGCAGTGTAATTGTTTTGACTAAGAGAGATCCTTAAGAAAATGGTCATTGTTTGTGATGACTGCACATGTTTAACTGCATGAAATAGGCTGTTGGGCAAAAGCAGAAAACAACCTCTGAAGACATGATCCTCTGAAGATGTGTATCAGTTTTCTGACATCGGACCAAATGACTTTAACTTCTGATAAGCCAAGAAGATATTGGAGAGAATTCCTTGTACCAGCATGCACATGTATTTCAGCAGTATTACCCTGATCCTGCAGTGGGATGTCCCAGCACAGATCCAAATTCCTACGAAGACTCCCACTGAAATCAAAGGGATTGGTGAACATAAAGGTCTAGGCTAGCAGATCCCTTTGCAGGATCAGAGAACTAGTGCTGCAAAACCAGATATGTATGGTAAAAATTTGGTTGTTAATAAAGTTAAGATAAATAGAACAAATTACTGACTGTATTAGATAACTGTTTGAAGAAAAATGGACTGAATAGGTTGAATTAAATAAAAAACTGATCAACGACTGGTACAACTTTTCTACCAATAAAATGTATACTTACTGTAGTCCATTACCTACTATATGTATCAGATCTGCTCTCTTCACTTATCTTGTACATCTGACATCCTCTCCTTTAAAGCTGATATAAGAAAATATCTATCATCAAAATGCTCTTTTATCTTTTAAAAATGCAATGTCATGGCAATTTTATCCTAGTTACAAAATTTACCTATCCACGCTTCTGAGCAGATGATGATGATGATGGTTAAAAACTAGTTATTTACTTCTCCTGTCCAAAAAACACTATTTGTCTTCAAAGGGTGGGCAAATGGGATTTAGCAAGGCTTTTGCTTTTAGTAATAAAATGGTAATAGTTAAAGCAACTTAATTAAGACTCTTAAGGCCACATTTTCCCCATCACTCATACTCTGAACTGGATACAGATGGAATAGTTAGAATTTCAGCTATTCCTCTACACATCCACAATTTAAATGGAATATGTAAATAAGGCCCAAGTCCTATAGTGATATTCATAAGGGTGGACCCTTGTGCCAGGACAGAGCCCCAGTGATTTCAGTGTTTCCACTCAGGGATGTGCCCATGTGGATATCCTTACAGGATCAGGAAGTACATAAATGGCTCATTACTGTATTCCTTAATTCTGCAAAACCTTTGGTAGACTCTCCTGAATCCAAAATATCTATCTTTAATTTGTAATTGAAGACCCTTTCATTGGGTATCGATCTTTGCTGCAACTGTGATACCAGATAGTGTTGCTATTGTGTGTGTGTGTGTGTGTGTGTTTGTGTTTGTGAGATATCAGGGGATGCTTCTTTAATAACTACAATAACATTGGAGCATTTTTTCAATAAATATGTACCTTTACTCACAGTATCATTCTCTCAGTCAAGGCCTACTCCTATTCCCATTAACATCAGTGGCATCACTACTTTGATCTTTAGGGGAGCAAGATCAAGCCATGTACCTTTCTTTTACTACTGTGTATAATGAGAGGACTTACAATGCATTTGTCCTTTCCTAAATTTGTTTTGGATAATCCTATCCAAACACAAGTTCTAACTAATGTTACCCTCTGTTTGGTACTCTACAGTTGACACTCCAGATCCATATGTGGAGCTGTTCATCCCCTCAGCACCTGACTGCAGAAAGAGAACGAAACACTTCAACAATAATGTGAACCCTGTATGGAACGAGACCTTTGAGTTTATTTTGGACCCGAACCAGGAAAATGTTCTGGAGGTAAATCATGTACTGAGGTACAGCTAGAAATGGAAGTTGGCAGTGTCAGGAGGGTTAAACAGCAACACTCTGCACTTACACAACATCTGTTATCTGAGCATTTCAACGTTTTCTAAACATTAAGGTTTTGCCTTTTATACACAGCCCTGAGTAAGGGGTTGGTACATAAGTTGCACCATCCCAGGAGCAGCCTTGGGTGGCATTGTGACACTGATACACTTCTGAGTCACAATTTCTTACCTGTTTGCTACTGAGACTAGTAATTTACTGTTCTCTACAGTAGCAGCAAGCTAGTATTTTATCCCTTCGTTGGCTCATCTACTTTGGCCAGCAATGAGGTGGGGGTGGAACCAAGTCTCTGCCTATTCCCCTCTCCTCTCTGCCAGCTAGAGGAGGGAGTAAATGGGAGATTAGCTCCACTTACTTCTATATGCCTGTACCCAAGGTCTGAGGCCATGTCTACACTTACCGCGGATTGACGCTGCTGTGATTAATGCAGCGGGGGTCGATTTGGCAAGTCTAGTGAAGACCTGCTAAATTGACTGCAGAGAACTCTCAGGTCCACTTTGGTACTCCATCAGAATGAGAAGACTAAGGTAAGTCAATGGGAAAATGTCTCCATTCAACACAGCACAGTGTAGACACCGCAGTAAGTTGACCTATGCTACGTCGACTCCAGCTACATTATTCACGTAGCTGGAATAGCATAGATCGACTTAGCCCTGTAGTGTAGACGAGGCCTGAGTAACCAACTCTATGGAGCATAAGGGAGCTGTCACTCCTTTGTACAGGTATCTAGTCCAAATCACCATCAATCCCTAATTAATTAAGCCTTTTGTACACACACTATTATAATATTGTGTTAGTCTAACCATTTTAGTGTGTCAAGAGTTTACGGGGATATTTTCATTGCAGAGTTTACTCTGGCTCTTATTTGGTAACCTGTCCACTTTGCAGAGAGGACACAGGCTAAGCCAGTGGTTCTCAACCAGGGGTACTCAGGGGCCTTCCAGGGTTTACATCAACTCATCTAGATATATGCCCAGTTTTACAACAGGCTATACTAAAAAACACAAGCAAAGTCAGTATAAACTATAATTCCATACAGACAATGACTTGTTTATATTGTTCTATATACTATATGTTGAAATGTAAGTGCAGTATTTATATTCCCATTTATTTATTTTATAATTATATGGTAAAAATGAGAAAGTAAACAATTTTCAGTAATAGTCTGCTATGACACTTTTTTGTATTTTTAGTCTGATTTTGTAAGCAAGTAGTTTTTAAGTGAGATGAAAGTCAAATCAGATTCCTGAAAGGGATTCACTAGTCTGGAAAGAGCAACAGCGGGTCCTGTGGCACCTTTAAGACTAACAGAAGTATTGGGAGCATAGGCTTTCGTGGGTAAGAACCTCACTTCTTGCATCTGAAGAATTGAGGTTCTTACCCACGAAAGCTTACGCTCCCAATACTTCTGTTAGTCTTAAAGGTGCCACAGGATCCTCTGTTGCTTTTTACAGATTCAGACTAACACGGCTACCCCTCTGATACTAGTCTGGAAAGGTTGAGAGCCATTGGGCTCAACCACTCAAGTGCTGATAGTCTTCAATGTCTTCTTACAGTTTCTCCCCATGTGCTCTGAAGGACAGACAAGTTCTCCCACAATTCACAGGGAAAGGATCATAGAGAGGCCTATCTGCTTACTGCAGCACAAAGAACCAGGATCTCTGACCCCTGAAGTCTTAGCAACACACATGGGTGAGGGCAGCATCAGTGAGAGAACACAGTAACTCATGTGTGGCTTTGTATTGTGGCTGCTCACACCTGGGCTAGGCTAGTCCAGCTGCTCACAGCTGGGTACCCATCACCTTAGTTATATGTGTAGCAAAGAGGTACCCTAAGTGATTTGCCTGGAGGACACAACCTGGAAGTAGGAAATCTGAGAATAGAGCTCAAAGTTCTAACTCCTAGTCCCCTTGTTCTAGTCACCAGCTAGATATCAGCACAGAATGGAATGAGTCACTTTTCTTCACAGGAAAATATTTGTAGAAACAGCAAGAAAGAAAAAAAGCAGAAGTTAGGTCCACCAGTGCTTCCTTCTCCTGCAATTACTGGAAATAGACTGTGATGCACCCACCCTGCCAATGTGATATATGCCATTATGTGCCAGAAATGCCCCTCTGCCATGTACATTGGCCAAACTGGACAGTTGCTATGCAAAAGAATAAATTGACACAAATCAGACATCAAGAATTATAACATTCAAAAACCAGTAGGAGAACACGTCAATCTCCCTGGACTCTCAATAAGACTTAAAAGTGGCAATTCTTCAACAAAAATCTTCAAAAACAGACTCCAATGAGAAAATGGAATTATTTTGCAAACTGGACACCATCAAATTAGGTCTGAATAAAGCCTGGGAATGGATGGGTCACTACAAAAACTAATTTCCCCCTGCTGATACTCTCACCTTCTTGTCAACTGTTTGAAATGGGCCACCTTGATTACATTGCCCTCATTAGCACTACAAAAGTGATTTTTTCCTCCCTTGGTATTCACCCCTTCTTGTCAACTGTTGAAAATAGCTCACTTCCACCTTAATTGAATTGGCTCGTTAGACCCACCATTTGGTAAGGCAACTCCCATCTTTTCACGTGCTGTGTATTCATACCTGCCTACTGTATTTTCCATTCCATGCATCTGATGAAGGGGGTTTTAGCCCACGAAAGCTTATGCCCAAATACATTTGTTTGTCTCTAAGGTGCCACAAGAACTACTAGTTGTTTTTGATGATACAGGCTAACATGGCTACCACTCTGAAACCCACCTGATGCTACTTCATGATCCCTCCTCAACCCTCTTGTTGTAAAGAGGAAGTAAATAATAATAAAGAAACCCAAAACATCCTTGCCAATGTGTCCTATGCCCATGACATCAAGTTTGACAATCAGCTTCACCCCTTGTATAGGAGTAACGTTATCATTTTAGTTAAAACTATCACTATAACTGGGAATACAGTGAGAGACCTCATTGGTGATGAAAAAACTATCCACATTTTCCACCTTTGTGTAAGGTAGATTATGACAGTTATCTGCCAGGGAAGAATTTCACATGTCTCCAAGCAGTTATCCTACACATTGCTTTTATAAGGTGCAGAATGTCCATATTGTCTCATGTTGCTGGCTAATTCAAATAGTATAGGAGTTAGGATACATATTCTCATTTTACTCTTGCATTATGTGTACAAAGGCCAAGTCTACCACAGCAGAAAGGAGAATCTATAATATCATGCATCTTACCAAGTAGCTGCTGAAGGAGCATAGAAAGAAAGATGGGAAGCTAGTGTCACAGCAAGGGCAGAGTTAAGATTCTTTGAATGCCTTCAATGTGCATTTCACATATTTGGTTTCTTTTAAGTTTAACCTCATTTGTTTTGTTTTGTATTTATCCCATAAATTACTGACTCATTCTTTAACTCCATCTTAAAAAGGTTTGTTTGAATCTCCTTTGGTTTCCCTCCACCCCCATCTCAATTTAAAATTTTTTAAGATGCATTGGAAGCAGGGAACAGGATACCCTGCAGAGCTACACATTTTAAGGCACTGGGAAGTGATAGAGCAGTGCTTTCTTCAGGAGAATCTGTCACAAGGGATCCTGGCAAAGTTCAGGGGCTCTGCATAGTCTCCCTAGCCTCTGTCAGTTCTCACTACTTACCTGACTCCATACTTTGATTTGGCTCTCTTTATTAGCTTTCCTTGTTTGTGGCTCATCTCAGATTCTCACAACCTGCTGTCGGCTTTAGAAGGTGAACAGGAGCCATGGGCGTGATTCTCTGCATAAGGTCTACAATAGCTCCTGCAGTCTTTAAAAATCAGCTGAATGAGAAACTGGGGATGGGGAACAGGAGTCAAAGTACAGCTAGTCTATCTGGTAATAGTGACATAATAGAATCCTCTTAAATAGCATGGGTCAAATTCTGCTAACAGACGCACAAACTTCAATGTGGTTGCATGAATGTGCTGAATATGGAATTTGCTCAATAAGATTTAAAAAGATAGACTACTAAAAACTAACTGTAATGGCTAATGGCTTATCCAAAATGCCTTCCTCAAAGCAATAACACATCTTTCTGTTCTGTTTGTATGTATTATAATGTCAGGAAGAAATTGGATAGGTAGCAAGCTATTTAATTCAGTGTGGTCTCAGTCATTTCTTACCGTGGTATGCTCTGAATTACTCACTTTTTGCTATCGTATGGTCTGACTAAGTGATTTCCTGCTATGGTAAGAATTCAGACAGTTCCTAAAACATAACTTGTAAATCATCTTTGATTTTGAGGTGTTTCTCACTCTTTTTTTCCATCATGGTTTTATGTAGTCATTAAAAAGCATAATTTTTTATGAGTTGGCACCTAGTGCATTATGGTATGAGTCGATTTCCAGTATAATGCAGCAGCAACCTATTTCCAAGATTATATAAGTATCCCTTTCCTGTAGCAGACCTACCAAGATATGTTATAAACAGGAATTCAGTGTGATTACTTAAACTAATGAAAGATTTTAGCTGGTTCCTGAGTCATGATATATAAGGCCCTGAAAATTAGCACCACAGAGTCAGTGACACTACATAATAATGGTAAGTTGCATATTAGTTAGCAAAATATATAGTGGCCGTGGTAAAGGTTTACTGTAATATAAATTCTCTAGACTACTAGAAATTGTGGCAAAGCTCTGACCTTGTCTCAGTGGGTGCTGCGCTTCCAGGCAGATTACGCTAGCCTCAGAAGCTCACTGTGACCCTCAACATAGCACTTCTCTCTCTACAGGCAAGGGTCACAGCCTACTGAGCCATTTTCATCATAAGCCAGCAAGGGAGGTGGGAAGTAGCAACCCTCCCTCACACATTCTCTGTCTCACAGTATCTGTGATTAATCATGGAGGGGGGGAGCCCAGGCCTATCCTCTACTCCAAGCTCCAGCCCACGGACCCTAGTAGTAG